CTTAATTAATTTTGTTAACGTGGAGTAATAAGGTATTTAAAGATGGGAGATAAAAATACAAAAATTAACCTATATATATCTTTCACTATCAAACTATGCATGCATGAATCAACCATTTTAGCTTTAGTTGTGCTTAGGAAATTCTCTGACATAATTTTCAGTATATATATATATATATATATATTTGAATAATAGTAATTTTTTTTATGACAAGGGAAACGCGCAGCTGCTACCCTTTGGGTGTGCACAAGGTAAAACCCCCGCACCTATACACAATAGCTCGCAACCACATAGGAGAGATAATCCGCACTAGGCAAGCCCGGTGCGACGAGCTCGATCCAAAAGGTAAACCCCTTGCTTTCGCTGGCAAGGGGTTTCGAACTTGAGACCTCCAACATGGAAGTCCCAAGCCCAAACCACTGGGCCACCCTGAAGGGTTAAAATAGTAGTAATTTATCTAATGAGATCCTATCTTGATTACACTTTCTTATATGTGTTCAATTCAGTAAAAAAAAATTATAGGCTTAGATTTCTCATCTTATAGGTTGAATTTTTTATATTTTTGCTTCAATACTATTTCTTGCTCAACATTTGCTAAATTTTAATGATTCATGCTATGTCATTGTAACATCTCGTACTTCGAGAAAGGCTATAGTGAGTTAACAGGCAAGTCCACAAGCCTAGATCAGGCCAGTGACCCTTCACGAGACCCTAAACGGTCCGTTTAGGGCACCACTGGCCGTTTAGCTAGGGACAGTGGCTGGCCATTTAAGGTCACCTGAAATTTTGGCCTCACTTGTACGGATCCCTAGATGGTCCGTTTACAAGTGTACGGGCCGTATAGGGAGGGCAGTCCAGCCGTGAAAGGCTGTCAGATTTGGGGTCCTCTAGACGGTTCCCTATACGGCCAGTGAGGCCTTGTACGGACCATCCAACCTTCCATAAAGGTGACCCCGTCAGTTTTTAAGTTAAGGTCGATTCTTTAAATGTGGGAATGTGTTTGGATATGAATTAACGTCACTAGAAATCTCTAGCACAAAGTTGAGTTGAAAGCTTTCTTACCGATTGAGTTTCAATATGAGATTTTACTTATCAATCATCAAAACTACTTTATATGTTCTACTTTCCAACAATGTATGTCACGTGGAAATTTAGAATTAGAGAATTATAAAAAAAAAAAAAAGAGTCATTCTCTTTTAGATAAACTAAAAAGGAAAGTAAAATAAGCAAATTGATACGTAAGATAAAATTATGTTAATCTCATATTAGATATTGATCCTTTAGTTGTCTACTATGGCAAGGTTGCGTGTTGTTTCTTATAATGATCTTTGCTTAATTAATGTAGAATTCGCATTATTTCTTTTATCTAAACTTTCTTTATTATGTGCTTATTGTAGAAGAATTATTATTTTTGTTGTGTCATTTTAGAATTTATTGTGAAAAATTAATCAATTAGCTGTCAGTTTGTATGGAATTAAGAAATGCCAAATGTTTGGTTTAACATTTGTTTTTTTAGATTAATTAGATAAATTATTTAGAATAATGTTACAAGCAACACAATTAATATTGATAAATTTTTGTTAGATCATTGTGAATAATTCATGAAACTCCTTCTCTTTACTCTTCTGCATCTAATGGTGTAGCGGAAAAAAAAATAGAACTTTGGTTGAATTGACTAATGTCATGTTGACGAGAGGGAGTTGCTCGGATGGTAAGCACCCCTCACTTCCAACCCGAAGGTTGTGAGTTCGAGTCACCAAGGGAGCAAAAAGGGGTGAGACCTTCTAGGGAGGGTAAAAAAATAAATTTAAAAAAAAAAAAAAAAGAAAAAAAAAGAAAAAAAAAAAAAACTAATGTCATGTTTATTGAGGAGTCTGCCTCATAAAAAGTCTTGTTATGTGTTGAATCGTGTGCCTCATAATAAGTCTAAGTTAATATCTTTTGAGTTATGGAGAGATTACAACCCAAGTTTGAAATATCTAAAAGTTTGTAAATGTCTAACCTTTGTAAGGCTAATGAATCCCAAAATTACAAAATTGAGTAAGAAAGTTACTACTTGTGATAATTTTTCGTTGTGACATAGAAATTTTTGTGTAGTCATTACTATCGAGTGTGAACCAAAGAATTTCTCAGAATCCCTGAAAGACTAGAACATGTACAACAAGACCTCGATCTACAATGTGTAGGCTTTCAACCATCAATCTCTTCCACGACCTACAAAGAGGGTCAGTGGAAGAAAGTACTTCTATACGGCGTGTAGGCTTTTTCAACCACCAATTTCTACCAACTTCTCAAGAGCAACGTAACATTTTAATTAGATTACAACTTAGCAATGACTAACTCTAGTGCCTCGAATCAACAATTCACTCAAATTGTTCTAACTACTCTCCAAGAATTTAAGCTCACTTTTTGTTACAAACCACACCCACACAACTACTCTCTTCAATCTAGAAATTATTGCAACTCAATAACAACCCTAAAACAACATCAACTACAATCTCAATATTGAATATATAAAAGCTATTACAACTAAGTAAATACTCATATTACAAGAACTAACTTTAAATTTTAGTAATTTTCCATAATAAATTTGGTCTAAAAATGAAAATTTTATAAAAGTTTTAAAAAGTATTGATCGACGTTAAGAAATTTACATGAAATGATGCAACAATCATTCAAATTGAAAAGTACAGAAACTTTCCTACGGTATCAGTTTAATAAATATAATGTTATAGATAGATTGTATTGTTTTCCGTCATTATATAATGTCACACATCAACAGTTTGAAGAATAAACCTATTAAAAAATATATATGTAAGGTATGAAGTAGACCTACTATAACACTCTGTTTGGATCATTGTTGCCCACTGTATTGTATTGTACCGTTATCATACCTACAATGTTTGTTTTGATTGTTACTTAAAATGTATTGTATTGTATGGTTAAATATCGTTGTTACGTAACAATGGAAACCCCCATTATATGGAACAATCGATTTGGTGTGTTCCCATTGTTACTTAATTTCTTTTTCCAATTATATCATGACATAATATTTCATAACACTTTTTTACCCTTTACCCTATATTATTTAATTCTAGTCAAACCTCCTACCCTAGAATAATTAAGGATATTTTAGTAAATTTATAAATTACAATACAGTACGATACAGTCAAACCAAACAATAAAAATGTTATTAAACAACAACAAACAATACAGTCTAGCCAAATATTGTATCTACCATACAACACAGTACAATACAATACAGTACATTATGAAACAATGGGTAACAATGATCCAAACAAAGTGTAGAAGGTAGAGTAGAAGGCATAATTAATATGATTATTAAATAAGAAGTAAAGTCAAAACGAAAAAAGAGAGAGAAGGTAACGACGCGATTATACCAAGTTGGTCATACTAGAATGAAAATTTTTCGTCGTTACATAACGATGAATTTAACTATATGATACAATAAAATTTAAGTCATAATTAATCAAAGTAAATATTATATTTAAACTAACAACACATTACAATATTTAAAATAAGTAACAAGAGCTCAAAATGCGTGCAAAAAGAAAACACGTATATAGGAGGGGCTCACCTGATTTACGTGAACCATGCTTTCCTTCCAAAATTATATATAGTAATGTTATATTTTTTAAAAAATATTTAAATATAGATGTGTGAACCCACATCCAAAGTATCATATAAGGCAATTATGGTTGGGTGCACCTCTCTAAGTGAGCTTAGAATTTGAATCTTATATCAATATCTATATCTTGTTTTATTTTTCTTTCTAAAGTTGGGTAACACCTTTCTAAGAACTTAAATGTCGAATCAATCAAATTTATACTTATCTTAGATCCAATATTTCATAATAGTACATCCATCATGTCAAAATCCTAAATACGCAACGTAACAAGTTAAATGAATCAGAGGGAGTAAACACTTGATGATGAAACGTCTTGGAATCTACTTGCTAGTTAAATGTTTCTACACTAGTAGTCACAACAACCGGCAAGTTAAGGTACTTCCTTTGTTTTAATGTATTAATTAATCTGATTTTAATCTCACACTGAGTTTAAGAAAATTTGTTTTTTTTTTTAATTTTATGGCCCGAAGTTAAAGTTATGTAGTATGTATTTAAATATTCTTTAATTTTAGTCTTACATATTTTATGTGAAAAATTCAAATTAAAAATTAATTAAAAAAAAAGACATTTTTTTTAGATTAATTAAAAAGAAAATAAGATAAGCAAATTGATACGGAAGAAGAGTATATGTTAATTTCATACTATATATACACTGATCCTTTAAATGTCTAATATGACGAGGTTGCGTACTTGTGTATTGTTTCTTACACAGTAATGTAGAACTCACATTATATGTCTTTTGTCTAAACTTTTTTTTATGTGTGTATTGTAGAAGAGGAGTTAATATCTCATTAGTGACAAAACTAAAAATTTGGTGAAGAGTGTGTAAATTTTCTTCTCAGTTGTGTTAAGAGCGTATAAAATTAAATATATACACTCATATTAACTAACGCTTAACCTATGTACACCATATAATTTTCTGATGAAGGGTGTGCACCCGAACACCCTTCGCCTAAGGTGGCTCCGCCCTTGTATCTCGTATAGTTGTTTAACTAATAATTCTTTTCATAGAAAATTACCTTGAGAAAAGGCTTATATGCCATTTGTTTAAAGTTTGACTCGTCTATGTTATTTTTCGTTTGAGAAAAGACTCACTCATGTCATTATTTGTTAGCTGAACACAATTTTGATTTTGCAAACCATTTTTTATATGTGATCAATTATGATTTGTCCACGTCATTAATTAAATTATTTTTTTAAAGAGAAAAAGCTCAAATATGGTTGATTTATAAATATCATACATCATTACAAGTATTTTTTTAATAAGAAAATGATGAAATATTACAAGCTCCATAATTTTAATTTATTCACTCCCAAAACATGTAAAGGCAGAAAAAAACTTTTACATCCTTTAAATTATGTTGACTCCTTCCATATTTTCTAAAGTCATCTTATAGACAACCTCTTGAAATTTTTTCATGGCTAGTGGAGGCAAATTTATAGCTATCGAAATACCTTTTTCTCCCTTGTCATTTTTAATAGGCACACAAACACTAATAAAAGATGTAGCTTTTGGAATCCCTCCAAAAATGGGGTTTCCCCATCCAAAATCAAATTCATCAAATCCAACATATTTTTTATCTGAGACAATAAAATTCCAAGATTTTGTTAACTCTGGTCTCCCTTTAATAACCATTAAATCTATAACTGATTTAATGTATTCTTCATTTATATTATCTTTAACTTTCTTGATCAATTCAACTGCATATGTTAGTGGATTTGAACATAATAATCCTGCTTTTGATACTGCAGATGGAGTAACAAATGCATTTCCATAATAACTAGGTGGTAGTTCATTTTTTAGTGACTTACCACGTATATTAATAGGATACGTCAAACGAACAATTTCTTCGGGGTGCAAATCAAGAGCAATGGTACGACATTTCCATAAAAGCGCCGCTAATAACTCAAATTTCGTACATCCATAATTTGAAGGAACTGAATTTTTAATAACTTCCATCTCTGTATTTCCAAAGAAGAATGATTGTTGTATCAACTTGTCTTTCATAGATTCCCATGCAATTTTTGATTCAATTTTCTCATCAAACTCATGGTGAGTACATGTAATACTTGGTGATGATCTAGCACTTAAGAGATCCCTTTGCCATACAGGTAATATAGAAGGTGTAGAAGCACCTTGAATTAATTCAATTAATGCATTTAGAAACATTTTGAAGCCATATCCATCCATCATAGTGTGATTAACAATCTAGTTAGCAATATTAAGTATCATATATACCAGATTTTGGTACGTCCGGATACGTTCAGTTAAGGCCAGACACATGTATCTCAGGATACGTGGGGATCAAAATTAGGTGTAATTTATTCTAGATACATTGTATCCAACTGGATACATGTGTATATGAGATACATAACAAATCTCACTCTCCTCCCTCGCCTCTCTCCCATCTCATTCACCACTCTCTTATGTATCTGGTATCCCAAATAAATGCGAATCACACCAGATACAAGTATCTAGTGTTATTAGCATGTATCTAGGATACATAAGAAATCTCGCTAGCCTCTATTCTCATCTTTCTGATCTCTCTCTATTTTAGTATATCTGGTACCCTGATAGCAAAAATGCATGCATCTAAGTATTTATTCCTCAATAAATGGTAAGAAACTCTTAATTACCGGTAAAATACATGTTCCAATATTTTGAAAGTATAGATAATAAAAGTATATATGGTAGTGAAGTATGTCTACCATATATAATATAATGTATTTTTGAAAAGAAAATTTATCAAGAGTAATATTAAATATTATTTACCTGAACTAACAAAAGAGGGCAACCAATGATTCCATCACAACTAGGAACATTGTGAAGTAGTAAATCCAAGAATGGACATGGTGGTTTAATAGAGTCACCTAATTTGTCAAGCTCTATATTAGCATCAGCTTCAATAAACATGATTCCTTCACTATTACAATTTACCATATGCTTTTTATTAAGCCCTTCAATGAGTCTACCAGCTAATGGATAGTAAAATACTAGAGCTTTAGACAATCCATCTTTGATAAATTTTGCAGGATCTTTGCCTTTCATTAAAGAATTATATTTGTAAAACATTATAATGGGGCCTATGATACGTGTAAAACCTTGATCATCTATATCAGAAAGATGTTTTGTCTCATGTGGTGTTACTTTTGCTGGTACTACTAATTTTGGCTTGTGGTATTTTATTGAAATTGGCATTGTGTGTGCCATATGTGTATGATGAGTGGTTTCTAAAATATGTTTAGTAATAAAATATGTATTATTGGTGATCATTTAGAATTAGATTTGTAGAGTGCCATTTGCATCAAGTAGACTAGAGACGTGTACGTGTGATTATTCATTTTGAATTTTGGATCGTGACAAATATATTGTAATTGGTGCAACGACGACTTGAATTCAAATATAATAACTTGAGTTTCAATAGGTAACAACCATCCAGACAAGTTGTTAAGATGCGTGCAAAATTGAAATATGACAAGTGAAATAGAATCGAGAAATAGTAGGCAAAAGGTAAACATAATTTATTATCGCAATAAAATTGAAAATGAAAAGGGCAAGCACTTGATGATGAAAGCGAAAGAATAAAAAAACACTTGCTGGCTATATGTTTCTAGACGCTAGTAGTCACAACAACCAGCTTTGTTTTAATTTGTCAGTTGTCTGATTTTGATTTCACACGAAATTTGAAAAAAAAAAAATTTTTTGAATCTTGTGATTTTCAACTAAAGGTAGGTATAGACCCCAAATAGTGTTTAATCTTGTGGTATATGTGGAAAGTTAAATTTAATGAATTACCAAAGAAAGAAAAAAAATACTATTTTTTAGACGGACTAAAAAAGAAAGTAAGATAAACAAATTAAAACGGAAGAAGTATATGCTAATTTCATACTGTATATTAATCCTTTAAATGTCCAATATGTCAAGGCTGCGTATTGTTTCTTATAAAATGATCTTTGCTCAATTTAATGTAGAATTCACATTATTTATCGTTGGCATAATATATAAATATATCTTTTAACTTGATTTCAGTTAACATATCTATATGCCCTGTAATTTTTGAGTGTGCACAAGTATGTGTATTATGTGCCATATGTGGTATATATTCTATGTGTATTATGACACGAAGGACGACGTGTGTGTCTACTTATTTAATTTTATACAAATTTAAATGTCTACTTGTGCACACCAAAAGTTAGAAGACAAAAATGACCGTTGAAACTGTTGGAGACTAGCGTAAAAAAGCACAATTGTGTTAGCATTAGGAGTGTAAGTGTTGTTATGTATTACTAATAAGAGTTAACTTACAAAGTAGAATTCAAGTAGAACTCTCCTATATTGTAACCTGTCAACAACCTATATAATGAGGAATTGTGCAGTAGTTTCAGATACGAAATATATCAATAATACTAAGCTTTTCTTTTCCTTTCTGTATTGTGTTTTCTTCATGGTATCAGAGCAGTAAAAAAACAAACCAAAACTGCGCAATCAAACCCACAAAAATCTCGTAACAATGGCCTCAAACACAACTTTCATGTCCCTGTCAACTTCCTCTCTGCATCATCTTATTGCTGCTTGTCCAGTCAAGCTTAAGCCTACTAACTACTTGATATGGAGAACTCAGATCATGCAGCTTATGCAGGTCATGAAAGTAACCAACTTGATCAAAGGAGAGAGACAATCAAGTACCACAGACGGGAAGGAAAAACTTATTGAAGGCAAGGAGAAAGAAGATTTGGAGAGTCTTTGGGAAGAGAAAGATGTGTTGTTGAGAACATGAATCTCAGGGACTATGACTGAGGAGAGCATGTATCTCATTGTCGGTTGTTCGACAGCCCAAGAGATGTGGGAATGCTTAGAGGAAACATATCTTCAAGCAACTAAAGACAAAGAATTTCAACTCAAACAACAACTCCAGAACATCAAGTTGGGAGCCAAAAAACTTGATGAGTATCTGAAAGAGTTCAAAGGAATATGTGATGGCCTAGCGGCCATTCAGAAACCTGTTGATGAGGATAGCAAAGTAATCAACTTTGCCCGAGGTCTAGGCCTTAAATATAGGACCTTCAGGACTGTTATGTTATGCTTGGGAAGGCACCATATCCCACACTCAACCAGTTTGTCAATGCTCTTAGAGGCTTTGACATGAGAGAAGATGATGAGGAAGTGCCACAAGAGAATCATAACATGGCCTTCTCTGCACAAAGAGGCAGAGGTAGAGGTAGAGAAGGCTATAATCACAATTAGAATAGAGGTAACTCTAACTACAACTCAAGAGGAAGAGGTTTCAAACCTGCTGGACAGGGAAACTATAGTCAAAATAATTAGAATATGCAAGCATCAAACCACGTGAAGGACAAAGACTTAGCCTCCAATGCTTGCCAAATCTGTGGAAGGAATAACCACACTGCAATCAAGTGCTTCTATAGATGGGACTACTCATATCAAGCTGAAGAAGACCTCCCACAAGCCTTAGCAGCAATCAATTTTCAAGATACACAGGCTGAGGACAATGCTATGTATGTTGACTTTGGAGCAACCAACCACCTGACTAACAACAAAGGTAACTTATCTGATCTTAAGACTTACAATGGGACTGATAAGATAACTGTTGGTAATGGATATTGTCTAAACATTACACATGTTGGGAATACAACAAGGTCAGGTCTAAAGGTTAACGAGATACTAGTAGTTCCTGATATTAATAAAAATTTATTATCTGTTAGCAAGCTAGCAAAAGATAATTGTTGCACCCTTGAGTTTGATGAATCTGATTTTGTTGTTAAGGACAAGAAGTCAAGGAAGCAACTGGCCAAAGGAACTAAGAAAGGAGAACTCTATGCACTGGAAGATAACAACATTTATGTTTTGACAGCAACCCCGGACTGGAGAAAGACAGATTGCATTTGGCATGCTAGATTAGGTCACCCTAATTTGAAGTCTTTACTATTTTTGAATAGAAATAACCATATCGATGTCAAGAGTTGGAATAAAGTGCCTACCATCTGTACTAGCTGCCAGCTAGAGAAAAGTTGTAAACTTCCTTTTGCATTGAGAAATAAAATTAAGAATGAACCATTATTCAAAATTCATTGTGATCTTTGGGGTCCTGCCCCTATTGAATCTTCTCAACACATGAAGTACTATGTATTGTTTGTGGATGATAATACTAGATACACCTGGTTGTATCCAATAAAAAAGAAGTCTGAGTTTTTTGAGATTTTCTGTAAGTTTCAAAAAATGGTTGAGAAACAGTTTTCAAGATCAATTAAAATTTTTCAATGTGATGGAGGTGGTGAGTTCATCAACAATCAATTCATTAAGCACTTGAAAAACTATGGAATTATAAGACAATTTTCATGTCCAAATACTTCTGAACAGAATGGAATCTCTGAAAGAAAACATAGGCATATAGTAGAAACTGGTCTCACTCTACTCTTTCATGCAAAACTACCTATGTTCTTGTGGGTGGAAGCTTTTCTAACTGCTGTATTCTTGATAAACAGACTACCATCCTCGGTTCTGAAGAATGAGATACCTTTTGTCAAACTTCATGGAGCATCTCCAGATTACAATAGTTTGAAAGTTTTTGGATGCATATGTTATCCACACCTCAAGGGACAATCAAAGTTTGCACCTAAAACTTACCCATGTGTGTTTGTTGGCTATAGCCTTTTACACAAAGGCTATAGGTGCTACCAACCATCCACAAAAAAGGTTTTTATATCCAGACATGTGATCTTTGATGAGCATTTGCTTCCTTATGTGCAACCTGCACAATCCTCTCTGAACACCTCTACTCACCTAGCTACTTTTCTTAAGTTTTTCTCCACTGTGCAGGATAACTCTCCAACAGATGGTGGTTCAACTTCAGGGGAAGTGTTGTCAAAACCTCCCAACATTGATGGTGTAGATCCATGTCATGTTGAGCCTGATGACGTGCTACCAGATAGTACTCATGATCTAGAAAACATCTCTGATGGTGAAAGTGATAATTGTGTTGATGATCCAGAAAATGCAACGGAAGTGCTGGAACATAAACACATCCCAGTGCCTACTGCACAAGGTGTAAACCTGGAAGGTGACCTATCAGGCTGGTTTAATGAAGAGATAAACCAAAATCTGGAATCTACAAGCAGGACTGCTGAACCACAAACCTCTAGCACTACAGAAGGACATCATATGATGACTAGATTGAAGGCAAAAAATGTTTCAACCCCTCACACAACTTTAGTAGGTATTGTTGAGCCAACAACTGTGGATCAAGCACTAAAGGTTCCACAGTGGTATGCAGTTATGAAAGAAGAGATTGATGCCTTACATGAAAATCAAACATGGACCTTGGTACCTAGAACAACAAAAATGAATGTGGTTGGATCAAGATGGGTATTCAAGACCAAGTTAAAATCAGATGGTTCTATAGATAGACATAAAGCTAGGTTGGTTGCGAAAGGATACTCTCAACTTGAAGGAATTGATTTTGAAGAAACTTTTAGTCCTGTAGTTAAGGCTACCACTATAAGGGTAGTGCTATCCGTTGTTGTTAGTCTAAAATGGCCTATTAGACAACTTGATGTCAAAAATGCCTTTCTACATGGGCATCTACTTGACGAAGTCTATATGGCACAACCCCCAGGTTTTGTTGATCCTTAGTATCCAAGGCATGTTTGTTCTTTGAAAAAAACACTATATGGCCTCAAGCAGGCACCTAGAGCCTGGTTTAAAAGGTTTAACATGTTCCTTCTACACCTTGGGTTCAAATGTAGTAGAGCATACTCATCCTTATTTGTACTTCATTGCAAAAGTGGTACTATCCTGCTTCTTTTGTATGTAGATGATATACTGATTACAGGAAGCTCCCCTGTTCATATTCAAGAAATAATTGCTGCACTTGGGAAGGAGTTTGCAATGAAGGATCTTGGTCCTCTTCAATTCTTTCTTGGGATTGAGGTTACATACTTTGATGGAGGTATTCACCTAAATCAAAGTAAATACGCCACTGAACTCCTCAAGAAAACTGATATGGCCATGGCTAGAGCAGTAAACACACCACTTGCACAAAAGCATGGCCTACAGGAAGCTCAATGAAGTTCTGTATATGCCTCAGTTTATAAAAGTATTGTGGGTAGTCTGCAGTATCTCACACTAACTAGGCCTGATATAACTCATGCAGTAAATCTCACAAGCCAGTTCATGCAGAATCTAAACAGTGAGCACTTTCACGCTGTAAAGAGGATTCTTAGATATGTGAGAGGGACAGTTCAACTTGGACTTAGGCTAATTGCAAAGTCACCTCTAAGGCTGTGTGGATACTCTGATGCAGATTGGGGAGGTTGTTCTACAACAAGACGATCAACTACAGGTTATACAATATACTTAGGAGCTAACTGCATTTCATGGGCATCAAAGAAACAACATACAGTTTCCAGGTCAAGTGCTGAAGCTGAATATCGAGCACTCACCTCCACTACAGCCGAGATTACATGGATCACCTATATACTCAAATATATTGGTGTCACACTTACCACAGCTCCAATACTATTTTGTGATAATCTTAGTGCACTTTACATGACTGTGAATCCAGTATTGCATGCTAGGACTAAACATGTGGAAATGGACTATCACTTTGTTAGAGAAAAGGTAGCAAGGGGACAACTCATAACACATTTTGTTCGATCACAAGATCAGCTAGCTGACATACACACCAAGGCACTTACAAAGCAACAATTTGCAGCCTTTCAAAGCAAGCTAGGAGTGGTTAATCCACCTCTCACTAGCTTGAGGGGAAGTGTTGGAGACTAGCGTAAAAAAGCAGAATTGTGTTAGCATTAGGAGTATGTATTGCATTAGGAGTGTAAGTGTTGTTATGTATTACTAATAAGAGTTAACTTACAAAGTAGAATTCAAGTAGAACTCTCCTATATTGTAACCTACCAACAGCCTATATAATGAGGTATTGTGCAGTAGTTTCAGATACGAAATATATCAATAATACTAAGCTCTTCTTTTCCTTTTTGTACTGTGTTTTCTTCAGAAACCAAATTAAATGACATATGGTTCGATTTAGTGTATATATAGTTGTGTGGAAAAATCTAGTATTGGAGTCTCCTTCGTTTAATTAGCCAGTTAACTTTAGATTTGAAATGCTTTTATTGATTCAAGGATATATATACAGTACCATCTACATAATTTATTGTATCTATTGCTACTAAATATAATATTTATCTAAATGGATATATATTTTTAATTGTAAAATAAATAATTAAGGTAATTTTATTCACTCTCAAAACATACAAAGACAGAAAAAAAACTTTTACATGCTTCAAATTATGAGTACTCCTTCCACATTTTTTAAAGTCAAGTTGTAGACAACTTTTTGAAATTTTTGCATGGCCAGTGGAGGCAAATTTAAAGCTATCAAAATACCTTTTTCTCCCTTGTCATTTTTAACAGGCACAATAAAACTAATAAAAGATTCAGCTTTTGAAACCCCTCCAAAAATGGGTTTTCCCCATCCAAAATCAAATTCATCTAATCCAACATATCTATTATCTGACACAATAAAATTCCATGATTTTGTTAACTCTGGTCTCCCTTTAATCACAATTAAATCTGTGAATGATCTAATATACTCTTCATTTATTTGATTTTTAACTTTCTTTACCAATTCAACTGCATATGTAAGTGGATTTGAACATAACAATCCTGCTTTTGCTACAACAGCTGGAGTAACAAACGCATTCCCATAATAACCAGCTGGTAATTGATCATTTCTTAGTGACTTTCCACGCATGTTAACTGGATACGTCAAATGAACAATTTCTTCAGGGTGCAAATCAAGAGCAATGGTACGATATTTCCATAAAAACGCCACTAATAACTCGAATTTCGTACATCCATAATTTGAAGACCAATGATCCAATCAGAACCTGGAACATTGTTAAGTAGTAAATCCAAATATGGACATGGTGGTTTAATAGAGTCACCTAATTTGTCAAGCTCTACATTAGCATCAACTTCAATAAACATAATTCCTTCACTATTACAATTTACCATAAGCTTCTTATTAGGCCCTTCAATGAGCCTACCAGCTAATGGATAGTAAAACACAAGTGTTTTAGATAATCCATCTTTTATGATCTTTGCAGGATCTTTCCCTTCCATTGAAGAATTATATTTATAAAACATTAATATGGGAACTTGAAAATGGTTACTCCCTTGATCATCTATATCTGAAAGATGTTTTGTATCATGTGGTGTTACTTTTGCTGGTTCTACTAATTTTGGCAAGTGGTATTTTATTGAAATTGGCATTGTGTGTGCCATATGTGCTAAAAGAAAGAGTAGTAGGCAATAATTAAAGTAAATATTATATTTAAACTAATAATACAATGCAATATATATAACAAGTAACAACCGTCCAAACAAGCTGTTAATATGCGTGCAAAAAAAAATATGACAAGTTAAATGAATCAAAGGAAGTGGTGGGCAAAAGGTAAACGGGATTTATTTTGTCACAATAAGATTGAAAAGGAAAAGATCAAACATTTGATGATGAAAGCGGGAAAAAAAACGTCTCCAAATCTACTTGCTAGTTAAATGTTTCTAGACAAGTTAAGGTACTCCCTTCGTTTTAATTTGTTTGTCTGATCTGATTTTGATTTCACACGAAGTTTAATACAGTAAAAAAGATTTTCAAATTTTGTGATCTTAAATTAAAGTTATATATAGAGTGTACCAAAATGTTCTTTAATCTTGTAATCTTAAATATGTCATGTGAAAAGTTTATATTAAAGAATAATAATTATAAAAAAAAAGAAGGAAAGAGACATTCTTTTTTAGACTAATTAAAAAGAAAAGTAAGATAAATAAATTAACACAAAAAGAGAGTTAATGTTAATTTCATATTGTTAATTGATCCTTTAATTGTCTAATATGACAAGGTTGCCTATTGTTTCTTATAATGATCTTTGCTTAATTAATGTAGAATTCACATTATCTGTCTTGTAATTTTTGCAGGATCTTTTCCTTTCATTGAGGAATTATATTTGTAAAATATTAATATGTGACTATGAAAACGTGTACTCCCTTGATCATCTATTTCAGAAAGATATTTTGTCTCATAAGGTGTTATTATTGTTATCACTACTAATTTTGTTTCTTGATATGTTATTGAAATTGGCATAGTGTGAGCCATATAGAGTCATTGTAAGCATTTGGAATTAGATTTATATAGAGTCAATTGCATCAAGACGAAATGTAATGCAACACAAAAATGTAGTGATGGAAAAGTTGGACCCTACCATTGGTTAAAGTTGTGGAGATGGTTGTTAAACCCAAAAGATAACAAAGTACAAGTGATTTTTACTTGTGACTCTAACATGACGAATTAGAAATATATAATAAATTAATCAAATTGTATTGATACCACTAACAAAGAGAAATCGAGATGACAGGGCGATGTCAAAATATCTAACCCACAATAGTATAATTGAAAAATTAGTATGATGTAAATTTTATAATATAACAGGTTGAACTATCTCAGTGACACCCCTACACTAAGACTCGGTTCCAACAATTTAGAAAATTTACTTTGGTTTGATTCAACTTGAGTTTAGCTAGCATTGTTACATATTTTTTTTATCAATTTACGTGTCGTATTTTTCTTTTTAATCAATCTTATAATAGTTATATGTACATCCTTATTGATTAGAAATAATTTCAACTTTAAATTATTTCTTATTTTAATCTTAATAAAATAATTTGTCACTAACTTAAATATTTAAATTTTAAAATCTTAAAATAATTTATTTTTGATTTTTTAATACTTCATGTTTGGAAAGGGATGAGCATGTTCATCCTCCATCTAATTGACAAGACGTTAGGCTTATGTCCCTCTCTTTTATTACTACCATACATGTGTATGGCTCCAAACACATTATTAATTTATTTCTTTAGCCCCACTCCAAATGCTTTTTCAGAAAACATTGTTCTTTCTTTCTCTTTGAAACTCAATGATTTGGATAGTTTTATGCAAAAATTATCTGGTTATACAAACATTCCTTCCATATTTATTATTTTCCCTATAGTTTGATAATATGTACATATTATTTCACTAATTAATAATTTCATATAAAATTTCAATTTAGATACACCAGAATACATGCATTTTAACTATCAAATACATTCTGAGATACATAATCATAAAGAGACGATTGAGATAAGAGGGAAGCGAGCGAGCGAGAGAGTCTATGTGCGAATCACACTAGATACATACATCTGGATCCAATATACCTTTCAGACACATCAAGAACTACTGATACAAAGGAGAGAGAGGAGTGAGAGAAGAGAGAGGCGAGCGAAATATGAGAGAGGCGAGCGAGAGAGTTACATACAAGTGAATTCACTAGGATACAATGTATCTATAATTAATTACATCTATGACCACATATATCATAAATACATGTATCTAGACACAACTAATAAATGTATCCAAGTCCGAATTTCGGTAAGATTTGTAATATTTGAAACTCGTGCGAAGAGAACCAATTTGCTCCTAAACTAGCGAAATTTGTAATTTTACCCAAGTTTAAGTTTTATTCTTTCTCCAATTAAAAGGTTGGTGCCTTAGGTCCCCAAAATTGAAGGGCCTCTTCTTTCTTTTTTTCAATAATAAGTTAGTATATTTTTTCTTAGAAAAAGTATATCGAGTGTTCATAGAAAATAATTCATATACGAGGCCGAAAATGATTATTAGAAGAAGCTTCATATATTATGAGCCCCAAAAATTGAAGGCCTCCATTTTTCTTAACAATTAATAGCAACTTATATGTTTTCTTAAACAAATTATTGAGTATTCATAGGAAAAATAAAATAAAATTTGTATATAAGAGGAAAATAATTATTAGGCGAAGCTTCATATATCTGAAGTACTATATATTTCTCAAGAAAAAATAGATGGTCTATATATTATAAAATTGAACAAGAATTATTAGAAGAAATCAATGGTAAAAAAGTTATTTACAAGTTTGTATATTAAAGAGATAGAAAATTTAAAGGCCTCAAGTTGATTCTGACTTACTTTAAAAAAATTAACCTCATGAAGTTGGTATTTTTCAAAAATAAAAAGTAAAAAAAAATCCCAACATCATGACATTGCAGAAAGGTGACCTAAATAAACCAACCTCATGAGGTCACTTTTCGAAAAGCGACCATGCTTTTTACGACTTAGGTTGAAGTTGAATTTTATATAACCTTTTTAACGAAAATCAACCTTATAGATTACTTTGGCACATCCACAATAATGCCCAATGCCTACAACTTCGTCCGGATCCTCTCAAACTAACATCTTTCAACCCGGTGTTTTCACTTCTGGGACTAGTACAAAATAACTCTATATGAAGGTTTAAAAATATTAAAAAAAGATTAATCAAATCGTAAAAATACCATAATGAAGAGAAACCAAGATGGTGAGATGATTTGGAAAAGTTTAATTTTGGTATACAAAACAAAATAACTAAAAAAATTGGTATGATATAAATTTTATAAGATAATCGGCTGAACATCTCATTGACACCCCTAGATTAAGGCTCGGTTCTACTAATTTTGAAAATTTAATTTGGTTCAATTCAACTCGAGTTTATCCCATATTATTATATTTTTTTAATTTCAATTTATGGGTCATACTTTTCTTTTTAATCAATCTTAAAATGATTATACATGTTTATTTAGAAAAAAGTTTTAATTTTAAATTACTTCTCATTTTAATCCTTAATAAAATAATTTATAACTCACACAAATATTTATAACTATTATTTCAAATTATAAAATTTTAAATTATTTCTTCTTTCTTAAATTTTGTGTTCCGAAATCGAAAAATGGATGAGGGGATACACATGTATGGCTCTAAACAAACACACTCCAAATGTCTTTTTCAGAGAACTTTTGTCTTTCCTTCTTTCCCTAAATGAAAATCAATGATTTAAAAAGTTTTGTTCTTTACTTAACCCTTAAACATCAAACTGTTGGTGATGTGGATTGGTTGTTAAGCCAAAAGATAAGAAAATATAGGTGATTTTCATAAATATTACCCCTTATGTTTTTTTTAAACTAAAATAAAAGGTAAAATATTGCTAGGGTGAGGTGGCTTTGTGTTTTTCAGGACCTCTCAAATGGAAGGGTGAAGGGGATTGGTAAAGAGAGGAATGGTCTCTACTATCTTCCCGTCCTTTTCCAGAGAAGGTCACACATAATGAACAACATGTATTGGTGAGCAATGTGGTTATGAATTCAGAAGGCTTCAAATGGCACAGAAGGCTGAAACACTTACTTTTGATTGTAATAATTGTGAAGTAGTAAATCCAAATATGGACGTGGTGGTTTAATAGAGTCACCTAATTTGTCAAGCTCTACATTAGCATCAACTTCAATAAACATAATTCCTTCACTATTACAATTTACCATAAGCATCTTATTAGGCCCTTCAATGAGTCTACCAGCTAATGTATAGTAAGACACAAGTGTTTTAGATAATCCATCTTTTATGATCTTTGCAGGATCTTTCCCTTCCATTGAAGAATTATATTTGTAAAACATTATTATGGGAATTTGAAAACGAGCACTTCCTTGATCATCTATTTCAGAGAGATATTTTATCTCACTAGGTGTTACACTTGATGGAACTACTAATTTTGGTTTGTGATGTCTTACTGAAATTTGCATTTTGTCCCAAACATGTATTTTTGGTAAGCATTTAGAGTTATATTTATAGAGTGCCAAGGTATCAAGAAGGACCATACACTTATTAATTTCCAACCAGTACCATATTGGAGCCCGACTAAATCGTGATTCGCTCCGGAAAATCCCATATTGAGAGATAAAACGCTTCCTAACAAAAATGACTCGGTATATGACTATATGATGATTAATAATTGGGGGATAAAGCGCTAACATAATCATTGCATATGACTATGTAAGGCACAAGTACCCCTAGACTATGACCAGAATTCCAGAGATAAAACTTAACCAAACTAATTTTGTACACCTTTTGACTTACGTGGCACACTCCGTGACTTCACTTCATGTAGGAGATGTTTTGGAGACCACGTATGCCAAAAAGATGTACTTACTTTGGTGTTGATTTTTCATTTTTATTTATCGCTACGCATCTAAAAGAAAGTGTAGCTATACTCTTTTATCACATAAATATCTAGACGATAAAGACTAACAAATTTCAAAGAAACAACTAAAGTGATAATTTAAATATATAATTTAGGCTAAATTTAAATACGTCTTTTAAGTATTTTGTCTAATAATTTCAGAAGACCCACTCCATTAAAGATTGGCAGTACTAATATAATGTACAATAAATAAGTTAGGTCTGCTGCTTTAATTCCACAGATTTTAAATGAAAACCTTGAGTGCAATCGGAAAAAGATTGTTGTGGTCTTGTCCCGACGTTTATCTTAAAATAGTAGAGGATTTATAAATAGACAATATTAAAGAGTCTCTAGATATTTATTTTCAAATATTTTGCTAAACTATTACTGTTTATATTCAGTATTCTCAGATAGTTCAGACAGTATTTGATTTAAAAGTTTTCCCTGATCAGTTATTTAAAACTATAAATGCTTGTGTAAGTCTTTCGCTAAGCAGTCAGCCATGCCAGAAATTCACTTGGGAACCAACAATGATTCTTGAGTGTCGGTCACGTCCAAGGTGTAAGCTCGGGGCGTGATAGTGGGTCACCGAACTCTTTATATTATGGTTATTTGAAGTTTACCCTTATACTTTGATACACTTAAGAATGAACCTTAACACATATGTACAAGTAAAATGTCACCTGATCCAATTAAATACGTTCACGACGAATGATTCGAATCCTTAACATATAAAATTTGCGAGGTGTTACACGTATGACACATACTTGTCAAGACTATATGCTCCTACATAAACATCACACAATCTTTCATCCATAGGGTGACTATTCCTTTTTCTGATCTTCTATCTGGTGCTTGAGGTGTTACTAGGCTTTCTGAAAAAGCACTTTGGATATGTGATGGTTGATTGTTTCCTCACTAACATGTGCAGTGTAATAAAAAGTCTTAACAACTGCAAAGAATGTTTGTTTAATGTTGTTTGAGGAGGTGTTACTGAACACTAACTTTACAAGAGCTTGCATGTGAAATTCAATGTCTCTGGCCTTTGAGGAATTTGAAATCTACAAATAGAAAAAGAAATGCTTATCATTCAATTTTTTACTTTATAAGTACACTTAAATTTACAAAACTAAATTTTGGAATGCAAAAATAACTCAACCATGCTTTTGTGAGTAAATGTTAAATCTGGTCCAAACAAAAATAAGTACTAGGAAGTTACATTAATCACTAACCTTACATAATATCCACATTATACCATTTTTAATTTTATAAAGAGAATTTTTAAATCCAACCTAATATGTGATTTGTTTTTTTTTTTTAATGAAAATTAAAGGAACTTTGCAGTCGCTATTCTTTGAACGCAGACATAGTAATTTCACTATATTGTAATAACTTGCAAGTTGCATAGAAAAATAAATCACATTAAATAAGTCTGATATAACAAACTTGAACCAAAAGCAGAAAGTTATGATTATAATGATTTATAACCTGGTCATTTTGGAACTCATTAAGCATGTGACAGACTTTATTGGTGTGCTTGGATAATATCTCATCATGTGTCATATGGCCAGAAGAAAGATTAATTGTTTTCACTAGCAACACTGCTGCTTCTTGACAGGTAGTATTGTTTTCCTCCAACCACTCTTCCCACTACATTCAAAAGAAAAAAAACAAGCAAAAATATTTAATTAAAGATTTTAAATTTTTTGTCAAATCAAATACAAATGGATAAAGTTAATGATGAATGTAATTATAATATAAGATACATTAAAAGGAATCCTTGTATACTCACAACATTGTGTAGTTGGTGATGGATGTCTTTGCCTAGGTCTTGATAAGTTTCTTTTGCAAGTTGGTGCAAAAATTGACAAAGATTATTGAGAACTATGATTTCTTTTGTCTCATTACTGCAACAAAAAAAATTAACTTGTCAAAGCTAAGTTTTGATATATATAATCCAAGTCAAATAATGCATAATTGTGCAACTTGCAATATATATTTTGTAAATTTGTTTCCAAAAACAACTTCTATAAGTGATTTTCATGCACAGACTCGAGGACAAAATAGAAGTCAAAATTAATTATATATTAGTATTTAAAAAAATCATCAAATATGTACACATATTGAATTTGGAAAAAGGTTCAAAATGCCCTTAAATTATATTATATAAAAGGGGTATTTTTTTACCAAACTACTAACTCAGGATATTTTTATTCAATTCCGTATAGTTTTAGGACATTCTTGACCCTTTTTCGTATTGAAATTTAAAACCTAATTATTAGGAGGTGAATCTTTTTGTTCTAAAATCAAGAACCATAAAATTGAAATTTAAAGGACCAAGATGGAGAGATATATAAATACCTTTTTTTTCTACTCATGTCACTATAGTTCTTGAACTCCATCAACAATGAATTCCAAGTTGTAGCCTCTTTATTTATGTAAGATGTAATCATCTTACATAGTATACGAGATTTAGCCCATGCAAGTCGTTGTCTTGACTTCTCCACCTCAAATATACTTGAAGCAGCTAAGAAATAAGAAACTAGGACTTCCTTTTTGCTTATTCCAAATTGTTCAAAGTTGCACTTCTCAAACCACCTATTCATCGACTCATAAAGTCACTCAACTAATAGAAATTACGCAAAAAAAAAAATCATGTTTCTTTATTTTGCAATAGAAATTGTGACTCAATTTTTAGCACTCTTTATTAATGTGTCTATTTATTGCGGCTAAAAGTTGTTTTTGTTGTAGTGTATACTCAAGTGATACTTCCGACCACTTACCTAACTTGGCAATATTTTATCGTTGTCAAAATCACTCTTGTAGTAAAGATATGACACATGAGTCTCACTCAATCTTCAAAAGTTAGCTACTACACGAGGTGAGGATTGTCTATATAAACAAATTGTCAATTCATTCCCCAACTAATGTAAGACTTTAACCCACTCTAACACATGTAACTGGTGAAAAATCCAATGCTAAAACAATCCGCTCGATCTGTACGTCCTGCTTTTCGATTTGTTTGTCTTACTTTCTTTTTTAGTATGTTTTAGAAAAGAATGTCTCTTTTATTTTTTGACAACTATTTACTTCTAATTTTCTATATTACATGTTTAAGACCACAAGATTAAATGACATTTTAATACATTCTACATATTTAGTTTAAGACCACAAGATTCAAAAGTCTTTTTTACTTTCTTGAACTCCATATCAAATTAAAACCAGATAAACAAATTAAAACACAGAGACTATATATCCTTGCTTATATATCAAACAAAAGTTTCTAAGTGGATGCTTACTCTTGCATAATCAGCCATTCTAAGCGATGTTGACTTTGACATCTGTTGTAATCTAGTTTTGCAGCTTCTAAATAAACATTGTTGCTCACATCTGGCATTCTACATGAATAGGCAAAATATAAACAATTGACACATCTTATTGGCATAATACATAAACATGACCATTAACTTGACGTCAGCTGACAACTAATTATAAGACCTTTTAACTTTGGATGTGCACAAGTAGGCACTTTAACTTGTATAAAATTGAACAAATAGACACATTCATCCTACATGACACCCTACATGGCAATTTTGTATCCTACGTGGCATCCTACGTGTATTATGCCATGTAGGATACGTGTATCTACTTGTTCAATTTTATACAAGTTTAAGTGCTTACTTGTGCATACTCAAAGTTGGAGTGAAAATTTGCATTCTGAACTACATTTCTGGCTCCACCACTGAGACAATTTAAATTGACTAGAAATCATATATTAAATATGTATAAACATATTTAAAGAGGTATACATATACCTGTATAATGTCTTGCCGATCCAAATTTCATTTGCTCCACCATATTGATCAATGTATAGCCTAGATTCCACTCGAGGTAAACTAGCATACCATTGAAATTCTAGTGCATATTGTATCTATGAACAAATGTTTTAACAACATATAATTTCGTGAATTATTCAATGTAAAAATTAGTTATGTTGCTCAGAATCTTCTAAAATGTTGTTACACTCATATCGAAGTCTTTAAAAATATATTATACTTTTGATGGATCTGATACGAATTTGTTGACATTTTCGAAGAGTTTTGAGCTTACCTCCCCAGGGATGTCCTTAGCTATAACCCATTTGTCTTTGGATTGATTGTTTGCAAGATATTGGTGCAAGAAATTGTATGTAAAATTCTTTGCCTCTTCAAGAATCATTTCTCCAGGGAATAAAGCTTGAGAACATCTATAGAGATTAAACATAACTGTTGCTGACTTGTTGGATTCACCTCTTAGGCAAAAGAATTCATCACCATCTTTGAACTTGTTTAGCACATCTATGACAAATAAGAAATTGGATTAAGCCATCAATAAATGCTAAATGTTTTTGGTTTCTCACTCGGTGTTTGGAGCCTGCATTGGAGTCCTGACTAAATTCTGATCACGCACTATAGGGCCCGTTCGGGTTTGGCGCTCCCAATAACAAGATTTTCTCCGTACTCAAGGCTCGAATTTGAGACCTCTGATTAAGGGTAAAGTAGTCTCACCACTGCACCACAGCTCATTTCGGTCTCTATCTTGCTTTAAATCATAAATTTCATTTTTTTTTATTTCTTAAACTTCGTGCATGCACACAAACACCGCAACATAAATTAGGACAGAAGGAATAGTACTTATTTTGCATTGACTTGCCTGGACTAACATCAAACCCATATAGCCTTAGTAACCTAATAGCCATGCAGGTAGTATCAACATCACAAATATTTGAATTCCTTGATGAAAAAAATCCATTCTCCTTGTCCCAATATCTATATATGGCTCAAGAACAAAATTAGACAATTGTCACAAGAAAATGAAGAAGAACTTTGGTACCAAAAAAAATAATATTTTTTTTGTAATGAACACACCTTATATTTTACCTGAAAACATATTCTAAAAGGTCCTTAATTTCTTCCTCAAAATAATAAGAGATTCCTAGGCGTTGTAATCGATCAATTGCCCAAAGTCTTGCTTGTATGTCAACTGGGTAACTACATGGAACTAAACATATATACAAGAAAAAAGTTCATTAGTTTGCTTGTTGTCTATTGTTACACTTGCATTAGAGTTTTTTTCTTCTATAACAACTCCATTGGTCCATTTTTTTGTCCATTATATTAACAAAGAAAGAAGTATTGAGAAAAATTTCTAAACTTGACACAAATTATTAGTTTCGTTCCTGAATTATTGACAACCTTAAAAACACCCCTCTACTTGACTAACTAAACTTAAACATATATACCCCCGATATGCAACATAACATAACAAGTGACCGGTCTCAAACTCTTGTAGGAGCATGAGGCTCTTAATAAATAGCCGAGAAAAGTGTTGAAAGCACCCCTAAACTTGGCGAAAATTTAGGGGTGCATTTCACCCATGTTGCAAGATCAGGAGTGTATTTATATTCAATTAGGATCATTTTAAGGTTGCCTATAGTTCAGGGATAACATTAATAATTCACACCGAATTTAAGAATGTTTTCAATACTTCTCTCTGTTAAAAAATAAATGTCCAGTTTAGAAATCAAGAGATAATGAATCATCAAAAAAGCATTGTACCTCCTCCATTGCACTTTTGAACAACATTTTGAAGAAATGTCAAGCACTTTTCATCATTTGTTTCCATAAATGCAATGGCAGTAGATGATGGGGATGTTAAGAATGAGCCATCCTCCATTTGAAGCTTCAAAAGCCTTTGCCAGTCCAAGTCCCTTAATCCTTCTAATGAAAACAATACTATTGTTGGAATGGTATGGATGAGTTCTTTAGGAAATCTGCAAAATAAAGATGTATCAATGAATATAGAGGATGGAGCCTTTTCACAATATTTTTGACACAAAATATATGTATATTATAGTATTCTACATCCATGATTTTAAAATACATTAATGAATTCAATGTTAAAAAATTTAAAATTGAACCGCACATTCTCAAGAAAATTGATATACGGTCGTTTGGTAGAGTGTATACAAAGAATATTCAATAGAGTAGATTAGTAATGTTTATATGTATTAAATCCCATTGTATTACGAATGCCTAGAAATCCATGGTATTAGACTATTAGTAAGACACTCCTCAATACGCAATAGAGTGTATAACTAACAACATGAAAAAGTGTATCAAACAAGCTGGTACTACTAATACACAAAGTTAATGCATGCATAATTTTTACTAATACACTCTACCAAACAACCCCCGAGGTAATTGTTGAAATTTATTTCATAGTTCAAAATAATGTTTTCAAAAGCATGCATAATATCAGTAACTTTACCTTGTAAACTTTACTTCTCTCCTTGCATAAATATCCTTAAAGGCAGGAGCATCATATGGAATATTGTCAATGTGTAATTGTTGAGCTTTCTCAAGGAGTGCAGGAAACACAAACTCAAAGCCACTAGTCATGTTTTCAATTTCCCCTCCCTCTAGCTTACTTAAGTTCTCTTTGATAAACATCACTCCTAAAGAACAAGAATGACACATGTTGTTAATTTAAGAGGATAGTTTAGGTGTGTTTTTGACACTTGTCTCTATTTTGAACTACGAAAAAAGGATAAGCAATTCAATTATTTTGAAATGGAGGGAGTAATATATAAGACATTATATATATTCTTGAAGAAATATAAGTGCATGTCTTAAGTTCACCTTTGTTTCTTTTATGAAGGCAAGTGTTCCATAAGGTTAATGCAACCACACATGCAAGTGTATTCAAGAGCCTATCATATATGCAAAAAACAAGCTCTTCTCCCCATGAACCATCATCAAGTTGATTGTCTATAATCCATTGAAGACAAGATGGAAATAGGGGTATCTTGCTTGTTCCATTAATATTAGTATTACTATCTTCAATAAAGGAAACCCAAGCTGTGTCATAGGGTGACACACTTGACCTTCCATCTCCCATGGAATTCAACATATTTTTTATCTCTTCTCTCAAATTGTTCATCTGTATTCAAAGACGGATTCAAAATTTAAAAGTCATGAGTTTGTAAAACAATTTCAAATTAGTATATAATAATAATAATAATAATTGAATTTACTATCAAATTTATTTTTAATTAATTTTCTAATACATGATCTAGACAAATGCTCCTAGGCTCACGTGAACCCACATATATGTATTTTTTGAGACAGTTATAGTTTATTTATAATTTGATTTTATGCTAAAAAAGATTTTAGAGACAATTGATTAACGACAAATAGCATAATTTTTAGCACTTACTAATATTAGATACATTTTAGCACTCTTTGTAAATGCAGCTAATACCTATAGTGATATTGAATATAATGACAATTAATTAATACTGATAAAGACTTTAGCATTTTTTGTTAATTTGCATATTAATTACCGCTAAAAGTTATTTTTGTTATAGTGACTTTTAGTGTTTTTTTGTTCAAAGACATGGAAAGAATTAAAAGAAAAATGATACTCCTTTGTGTCCCAAATTACTTGTCATCATGTTTTGCTTCTTGAGAGTAAAATTATATGAATTTTAACTCATATTTTAAGATGTAATTTTTCACCATATTGATAAGAAAAGAATTGTAACTTATAGTTTTTTTTTAATATTCAAATTCTATAATTTGTAAAATACAATTTAGCCATAAAGATTAGTTAAATAATTGACTTTCAAGAATTTGAATGTGATAATTATTTTGAGACAGGGGAGTAGGCTTTTAGTGTAGGTTTGTTTACGAGGAATCAATTTTCAGAAAAAGTGTGTTTTTTTATAACCAAAAAAATCATTATTTTGGTGTTTGGATACTAAAGAAAATTAAAATGAAAATCCATCAAAATTATTTCCGTTGCTTAAGGATGGAAGTCATTTTTCTTACAAGTATTTTAGCTTTTAATTTCATATTACTTACCCCCACTAATATTTCAACATTATTATCATTTTTTAACACTCAAAAAGTTTCATCAAAATACTACCTAATTTGCTAATATTATTATTAATTATCGTTAATATTTTTTTAAATAATATTTTTCACTCATTATCAAATACCAAAAAAATATTTTCTTGAAAAAGCTATTTTTTTTCATAGAAAATAACGTTCGTCACACCAAATAAGCTTTAAATTATATGCTGACCATAAATTAAATTTGAGTGTAATAAATTTATTACCACCTGAATATCCTTTTCTTCATACTTGTTGGAGTGATCAGATTTTGAATCACTGTCGTAACCTGCAAATTAATCAAAAAAAAAAAAAAGTGTAGCTCATATAGAAAAAAGAAATTGCTTTGTTGTTTTATAAACTATAAATATCAAATATAAAGAGTGTCAGAATATTTATCGGCATTAGTTAATTGTCATTGTATCTAATATCACTATAGGTTTTAAGTACATTTACAAAGAGTGTTAATTGTTATTAAAAAACATATTTAGCAGCAATTAAGTTATTATTGTTGTTAAACTTTTATTTGGGGAGAAATGTCTTAAGCTAAAAAAAAAATTATTATTATTGTTAATTAATTCCCGCTAAAAAAAAATTTACCAATTTTTTTTTTATAGATATACTAGATGTGAAGCACCATGTCAATACAGATCAAATAAACTATATTAAAAGTGATCTTACACATTTTTTATGTCTCGTCACATTTTCCTTTTTAGTCAGTCCGAAGAAAACGATAAATTTCTTATTGACAAATGTTTGATAATGTTATCAATATTTTATCTAAGTTGAATCTCACTTATTTGAGAGAAAAAAAAAAACTTTTATTGAACAAAGATATTAAAATTTTAAAAATACCCTCCGCACCTCCGTAGAGCATTGGATTCTTTCTTGGTGATTGTTAACGATAAATAGATAAATATTTGATTGTCAATTCAGTTATTATTAATATAAGGTCATTATTAGAAATCATAAATTTCATATTTTACATTTGCCTCTTAAGATATTCCAAAATCTCAATAAAATGTTCATACCAAAATAGCTTGCTTCATTAGGTGCACAATTGAGACGAAGTGGGAGTATGCCTTCAGTTTGGAATAGCCAATTTCCTGTAAATATACCAAATAAAAAGACGATGTCTTTTGTTGAGTGAAAATATAACATAAATAAATTAAAACGAAGGGAGTAGATAAATTAAATATGATAAGTATAAAATAAAACTTACTAGATCCATATATTTTAAATTCAGCTTGATGAGTCGACAACAAGTTAGGACTCTTTAGTTGATGAATATGGCAAGAAAGTCTGTAATTGGATGTAATTACCAGCATTTTTTTATCTAGTTTTATTTTTATTTTATGGAAATGGTGCATGCTTATTTATATAGAGTCTAACTGCTTAATAAATACTCTCTCTGTTCCTAATTACTTGTTCACTTTTTCTTTTATAGTTATCCCTAATTACTTGTCCATTTTGACAAATCAAGAAAGAACAAATTCTTTTTACCTATTATACCTTCAATTAAATGACTAATTATTTTGAAAAATGTAGAACTTTTCATCCACTTCATAATTAATAGGGGTAAAATGGTAAATTTATTATGCCATTAATTATTTTCTTAATAGGTGTGTCAATTCAAAAGTGGACAAGCAATTAGGGACATAGGGAGTATTTGTATTTGCATCGATTTATTATTTTAGCCCTTCAACTTGTCAAGGTTTCATTCAAACACCTACCTATGTTCAAAATTACTATCTAACTTGTGAGTCTTTAGGTTTCATTCAAACGCCTGCAGATATCCTCTGTCATACTTTTGGGACATTGGTGCCCCTGCAGTTTAAAAACTAGAGCATATATATCATTTATACTAACGAACATACACATGTGATAATCTAATATCCACCGACCCGATATTTATTAAATATTATATCATGGATAAGATTACGCCACGTGTCCCTATTTAGTCTTCCGTTAGAGTGAAGGGCATATATGCTCTAGTTTTTACACGGCAGGAGCACCAATGTCCCGAAAATATGACGGAGGGTATATGCATATCATTTACGAGAATAATATATTTTGGGATTAGTTGTTCTAGGAGACTAGGATTGTTATCCTATTTTCAATGTGAGATAAAAATAATACTACAATTCTCAAATAACTAATCTCGAAATAAGTTATCCCATAATTTTATTTCTACGAAACATGAAATAAACTCCTCGTTACATTAATAGCAAAATAAGTTATCCTACAATTATATTTCTACGAAATATGTAATAAATTCATCCTAACATTAATTTCGAAATTAATTATTTCTTATTCCTCGTACCAAACAAACCTATTAGTATAAATTCGTCCCTGCTATGAGTAGTGATGGGCCGCAAGCCGTATAGAATCTAACAAGCTATGAAATATGTATACATATACTCCCCGTTTTTATTTAGTTGTCATCATTATTGATTTCATATTTCTTAAGAAACTAGGTAAGTTTATCTTTGTATCCTCATTTAGTGTTCTCTTTAAAGTCAAGTTTTCAATAAATTGATAAAATTAATTATTATTATTTTCATTTTATCTTAGATAGTAATTGTTCTTGAAAATTACAATTACTTCAATAAAATAAATATTTAATGAATTGAGATTATATCTTATGACATAAATAAGGATAAAATAATTTTAGAAAAAATTCGTATTTAATATTTTTTCTTAATATAGACCTATAAAGAGAAACATGATAGATTATATATATAATATGAGATAGAAGGCGTAATATATATATATATATATATATATATATATATATATATAGTTTTCCATTAATCACTAACTAACATATTTATTTATACAGCAAGCTAGACAACACACCCAGCCCAATCTCCAAAAATTGTATGTCTTCTATAATGTTAAAACTCTAACATCAAACTTGCATTGGAACCCTAAATTCTGCCCAAGATTGTGCTTTAAGATTGAGCTAGATTCCAACATGTGCTTAGAATTGCTGCCTTATTTCCAAATTCTTAGGAATCGTCCGGAATAAAATGTAGGATTATTTTAATGGAAAAAAAATTTTGGCCAAAAAATTTGGCCTGAATATGGTCAGAATGATATTTTATCTATGTTATTTTACCGTTTTAAACATTTTTACCCTTTTAACTTTAATACTTTTTAACTAAAAAATGGAAAAATCAGTTTATTTTAAAATTAAAAAAAAATTATAATTTTTTTAATTTTGTTGCCAAATTCTGGCCAAATTTTCTGGCCATTTAGCACTTCCCGGTCCCTAATTACTTATCCACTTTTCCTTTTTTAGTTGTCCCTAATTATTTGTCCATTTTGACAAATCAAGAAAGGACAAATTTTTTTACCTATTATATCCTCAATTAATTACTTTGAAAAAGGTATAACTTTTTGAAAATCGTAAGTTTTTAATTCATCCACTTCATAATTAATAGGAGAAAAATAGTGAACTCATTATGTCAATAATTGTTTTCTTAATAGGTGTGTCAATTCAAAAATGGACAAGTAATTAGGGACAGAGGGAGTATTTGGTTGGAGGTATTGGGCAGTTATAAAATTATTTATCCCAACATTTATACCTTAGTGATAGAATAAAATATCCAATATACATGGTGCAATAACTTATTCTGAAACAATTAATTTTGGAATAACTTGTTTCCAACCAACGATCCCTTAAATTAGTAGTCCCCCTATTGACTTAGGATTAAACTATCATACCAAAATTTTAACATGTAATTAATTAGTTACTAGTTTTATATTTATATAATTACACATATGTGAATTTTATATGTAACTATATATTTTGGTAAGATATTCGATATTTTGATATTTTTTATAAATGTCAAATATCATAGCTAATACTAAACTTTTTAAAAATGCATATCAAATATCATAATATGGAATATTAAAAATGCCGATTTCCCTACCATGCCAACCCCTTCTTAGAAGTCATTTACATATCTTCCCCAAGAAATGAGAGCCCTTTTGGTGATAATATTGGTCCCAAATCAGTTAAAACTTCTACAGTATGATTCAATAGCTTGCAATACCTTCTTAGGCATGATGAAGAATTTCGACCAATAAGCCTTGTGACAAACCAATTTTCAACACAAACACATAAATTTTTATCGTTATTAAACTCGAATTATAATTTAGAATTCGAATAACAAGGTAATATATAGCAACACTAACCAAGGAGAGAATAACATAACAAGAAGATAATCAGAAGGAGATGAAATACTAGAACATAGAAGGGAGATCATGAGAGAAGAGATAACATATAGCCAAAACTTAGACATAATTGTATAACTGTTCTTTGTAATTCCTAGATCTTTTTAACAAGGAAAAAAGACTCAAATATGTCATCAAACTTTGAGAAAAAGCTCATCTATACCATCAGTTAACAGTTTGGCTCATCTATGTCATTTCCATTTGAGAAAAGGTCTAGCCGTGCCATTATTTGTTAACTAAAAATTGTTTCCGTTTTGCAAAATTGTGGTCAATTTCGATCATGTCATTAATTGAATCATTTTTTAAAAGGAAAAAGGTTCAAATATATCATTGAACTTTGACAAAAAACTCATCTATGCCACATCCATTAAAAGTTTAGCTCATTTATGCTATTTCAGTTAACAAATAATGACATGAATGAGTCAAGCTATTAACAAATGACATAAATGAGCCTTTTGTCAAAGTTAGATGGTATATTTGAGCCTTTTCCCTTTTAACAATAGTTTATTCGGTCTAAATCCTAAATAAAACTCTCTAATATTTTATTTGGCCCAATAATATTAACTATGGAAAAATTAGCAGTTAAGTCATAATAACTAATATAATTAGTCAAAGTAACAACACTTTAAAATATTTATTTAAAATGACAGAATGACAATATTTTGATAAAATAATATGTATTCAGATTTTAATATTTTAAATTAATTTTATTTATGGAAACAGATTTTAGTATTTTAAATTTTAGTATTTTAAATTATTTTTATTTATGGAAGGAGTGCTACATTGGACCAAAATATGAACCAATAGGCGTGTAAAGTTAAGAAAAAAAAAACTAATACCATTAAACCTTTTTCAACAAAGTTAATGTTTCTTCCCCAAATATCACGTTTCTTCCCCTCTTTCACGTTGCATGTTTAGCTCTATTGAAGGTGCTAATTTGTTGTTCTTCAAGAAATTTTATGAATTCAAGCAGATTTTTCGGTTGGCAAGGTAAGTTCCATCATCCTTTTTGATTTTTTTGATTTGATGTTTAAAGCACCTATTATATACCTTACGGATTTTCAGTCGAAATTTCCAATTTTGATGTGATTTTGTTTGAACATTCATCATATATTTATGATTTTCAAATTTTTCCGATTTTTTTTGTGATTTTATTTTAATTTTTCAGATTTTGTAGATTCTAGAAACTCATATATATGTTTATTTTGTTTGATATTTTTTACATTTCAATACTTGATAATAACAAATTTGTTTTTAGGGTTTTAGAATTTGGGGAAAGCATCTGATTGTCTACAATGAATGATTCAATCAGAATTACTAGAGGTATACCACATAATATTCAAAATTTTGGGGATTTTCCCTCATTTGATTTGTGTATTACCCAAGGATTGCTCGAAAATGTAGGATCTGCGGCTAGAATGGCACATGAGAGCTCTTCCAAAAAAAAGAGGGTTTTGTGGTCTGAAACCCCTGATGATCAAGGAAAAGATAGAAGTGATGAAGTATTACTTTCTGTCGATGAAGAGGTATTAAATTATTTTGAAACTATTTTTGTATGTTATGTCCATTGTTGATTTTGTGATTGTGTGTTTATTGTTGACATTCCAGTGTTGGCATAATGCATGTTTTTATATGCTTGAAAAAATGTAAGGTATGCCAAATTGTGAATTAACCTCATATGCACAAGAATTTCATAATCTTTTTGTCAATATGACTAGTATTGTACAGTATAAAGTTGTCTTGGCAACAATGTAAAAAAATATCATATTCTTCCTGTTGAGAGGATGAATGTCAGGGCATAAATTTGTATTATATGCATGATGAAATATCAGAAACTACATGTCTATTATTCTTATACTAGATAGTTGTATAATATATTATATTTTTTCAGCACCTTTATGTATTCCAATTTATTAGTTTTATAGTATGAGTTCATTATGTATTCTATTTTTGGGTTCATATTAATTTTTTATCTCATTAATATTCACAAATTAGAATGAACATCCAAGTTTTCAGAATGTTTTTCAATTTGTCATATAGGTAGTTTCTTTTATAATATTTTGTTATCTAGAAATAGAATTATAGATCAATAATTTTAGAAGTATGTATTCATTTATTTGAACATGTGCAGGCAAGTGAATTTTACGTCAAAGATCAACCAACAAAAGCTCCACATATCCAATGTGTCTTTAACAATGGCATAAAAGCTGACTTGATTAGAAATTTACATGAGCATGTATATAATGTATTTCGCGAGAGCACTTGTTTTGGTAATTACATGCAAATGCATGGATGTTGTGCACGCGGACAAATACATAGGTGCTGCATGGCTTTGGAACTCAATTGTAGTTCTCGTCAAGCATTTGTCATGCGTGTCAATGGATCTACGCTTCGTTTCACTTTAAGAGAATTCGCTTTGATTAGTGGATTAAACTGTGTTAGCGAAGAAAAAGATTTCATTTTTGATACAACAGAACCAAATAGGTTGATGGAACAGTATTTTCAGGGTGTTAAGTTGATCAGAAAAGTAGATATAATGGAGAGTTTTGAGGCAAAAGTGTGGGGTGATAACGATCAGGATGGCTTGAAGTTTGCCATATTATTCTTCATCCAAACAGTTATTTTTTCAGGTGAAAGAGTTACCAAAAAAGTTCCTAGATTACATTTTGATCTGGTTGAAAGCGGTATGTACAGTCAGTTTCCATGGGGTAAAAAATCTTTCTACCTGTTGATGAAGAGTTTGAGCAAGAAGATGGATAGAGAAAAACAGTTTTACAGAATCGGTGGCATGCCTATTGTCATTCAAGTATGGTTATATGAGTGCAGTTCAAGTATTGATTTTCAAGTTGCTCAAAAGGTTGATGACCACATTCCGAGGTTACTCAACTGGCAGACGGCCAAAGAGATTCTGAGATACAAGAAACTAATGAAGACCATATTCAGTGATGTTAATAACAAGGTACTTAATTGAAATATATTCAATAAAAGTCAAGTTATATAGTTTTATTATTGTTTTTATTATAACTAGTAACAATTTTTTTGTGGTTCAGTTTAAATTCAGGAACATTACCCCCAATCAAAGGGAACTTGCAGTATTGCAATTGCCACCAGAAGGTATCGAGAATCAAGGTGAAGTTCAGTATTCTGATTCATCAGATGATGAACCAGATGAGGTAATAAGTCATTGTAAAGATTCTGACGATGATTTTCAAGAACATCCTCCACAAACAGTAAAGGTCAAAAGAAAAGGAAAAGTTGGTTCTTCACCGTCGCCTGTTAAAAAAAGGAAAAAGAAGCAGTTGACTGATGAATCCAATCAGGTTGCACAAAAGTTGGAACCTCGTGTTGTTGTTAAACTGCTGGTGAAAAAGGATATTGTATCCAAAAAGGTACCAAAGAAACCTAAGGTTGTTTTAAAGCAGACTGAATCTGTATCTACAGATCAAACTAATACAACATCGAAGGATTCTGACATTCCAAGAGCAAGCGGATTTGAAGTGCAAGTCTGGTTGAAAGAGCTGTCAGATTTTAGAAAAGAAGTATCTAATATTTAATACATCTTTCTCAGTTTAACACTTATTAGCATATTCAATACTTATTAAGCTACATTATTATGTCCTATTTTCAGGTTAAACAAGAGTTTGTTGACATTCGCAAATTGATCAACGATAACTTCAAGACTGTTTTGACAGCCATTAATTCTAAACAGAATGAGCAGGAGGTTTGTTTGAAACAAATAATATAATTTAATGTACTTCAACTATTCATTTTTTTAATGAAATATGTTATAATATAACACAGGTCAGGCATTCTGATGATCCCATTATACCTCCAAATTTAAACGACGAAGAGAGGTATAGATCACCATATACTTCAATTCCTGAAGTTATATCAAATCAAGTGCAGGTAGTTCAAGGTGACAAATTGGGATCTGGTAATTTGGAGGTACTTGTAGTTTTTGTGTTAGTTGCAACTTTTATTAATTTGGTTCAATATGAATCTATATATCTATTATTTTATCAAACTGTATTCAGGAATATTATTATGGTTTATTTTACGCAATTTGAATTTATTAACCTTTTATAAAGTTGTATCCATTACATTTGATAACATGTTTCTTGGCTTTTTATTTCTCTGTTAAGACTATCAACATTCCAGATGTTAGTGATACAAAAAGTGTTGTGCACCAGGTAAGTCAAGTTTTTTATTGTACTTTCTACTTAGTACATATATATTCATTATCCTTTATAAACCTATTATATTTATATTTGTATACATGTATATACTTCCAATGTAGCCTTTTTCGGTCAAACTGTATCCAGCAATCTTAACACAGTTTATACTTTTCAAATGAATTGGACAAAGAGTTTTCACTGTTGTATCCATTAACTAATATTTGTTCATGTGTTCTTATTCTTTTATGTTTGTTTTAAGACCATCAACAATCCAGATGGAATAGGTTCCAAATCTGATGATCATGAGGTAAGACAGGTTTTAGATTGTATTTTCGATTAAATATCAGTACTCCATTTTTTTGTTGTGTTGTATATACTAAAATGTGAATACAATATACAGATTTGCTTTAATTTTCAGTTCTCAATACATGTTCAATTTCATCTTATAAATTCCATTTATAATTTTTCATATTATAAGGTTTTTTGTCTCAACACTCCTGTTCGAAATCTAATTAAAGTGGATGAAGTATTCAGTTCTCCAAAACTTATAGTTCCTAGAGTATGTTATTTATTTTATAGGCAGATTTATTATATGATTATTAGTTTTATTAGATTTAAGGATGTTATATCTTTATTAACTTACCAGGTAAATCAACCAAGCTTTGTATTTGATATACCACAAAAAACAGGAGATTCTGAAAATGCACATGAACATGATGAGGAACAATTCCCATGTCCAGTCCCTATACAGGCTATGGATCCCATGAATGTGACCACAGATTCACAGTTTGAATTGGACGATCAATTCATGCCTAGTCTCACTTCTATAAAGAGTAGCATCACACCTCAGCCAACCATAATTGCAGGACAAACCGCACAGCTGCCAACTATAATTGCCGAACACTTGACAAATACGGCAGATCAGACCACTATCAATGTCCAGTTTGGTACGAGCGGAGAAAAAATTATGCATGATCAGCCCATCATCAATAATGAACAGACCCCGTTACCTACGCGTAGAAATAGACGTCCAGGTCCTTATAATATATCTCCGTATCTGACCAATTTTGGATCATCTGCTGGTATAGTATTCCAATTTTTTAAACTTTTTTTAATGTAATAATTTTTTTGATTGCTAGTGTTAGTGTGTTTAATTTATTATTTTGTAACCATTTCAGGTAGTTCATCAAGTCAGCCCCCTATTTTTGAACTGAAACACCCATTCATATTTGATTTGATCTCTGGCAATTATGATATACCTTTGTGGGATGCGTTTCGTTCATGGGTCCGTGATGGCTTGCTTACAAAGCACGATAAAAAGTAAGTAGTTGAGAAATAATTACAATATACTTTTACAACATAACTATTTCAATTTTTGTATTCGGTAAAATGTTTGTTCAGATTTTAGTTTTTGTATTCGGTAAAATGTTTGTTCAGGTAAAATGATTAAAACATATCTATATCTGGGTTATCTTGATAAAATTTGTATTTCATTGTTGTTATTAGTAATTATATTTATTGAATTGTATATTTTTATTGTGTTTTTAGGAATCATGATCAGGACCATTACAAGAAACATCTAGCTCACTTCCCTGCTGCCATAAATCTTGGCGTTCTCCTAATAAACAATAAGAACTGGTTCTATAATCTGTATTTCGAAGGACAGTTATTGAACAATACGGTAATAATTATTTATCTTCATCTTTACTAACAATGTTGATTAGTAGTTACATTATTTATACCTTTGTTTTTAAATTTTTCAGCATATCGATGTGATTTTCTATTATCTCCGTAAAAAAGATAAGTATGAAATTGGAAGCAGCTACAAATACACAACTGTAGATTGTGTATTTAGTTCAAAGATTTCTTCTATTTGGGAAAAATATTTGGATTTAGACAATGATATTGGTTGTGCTGATGAAGAGCATGTCATTGGTGAATACATTAGAGGGTACAGAATGCATGCTGCTATCCCTTGGCATATGGTTGATCATGTTTTTGTTCCTGTCCATGTTAAGAATAAATTCCATTGGGTATTGGCTGTTATTTCATTGAATGATAAACGTATCAACGTTTATGACTCATATAGAGCAGCAGGACCATGATGCAGCTATCAAGACAAGATAGTTAAGCTGTCACAGTTGATCCCTTTAAAATTAAGAGTGAATGACTATTACAAGAATAAAGGAATTGATGTATCGCAGGCTCAAGAAGAGAATGAGTTCTTTGATATAGTCTTCATTGATAATGTTCCTCAACAGACACATGGGACTTTGTAAGTTTGTGTATTTTTTTGAATTCACCATTATCAAATCATCAATTTTATATTGTTTACTTTTAATGTGTTGTATTGTAGGGATTGCGGTATTTATATGCTAGCTTTTGCCGAATACCTATCATACGAACAAGGGATCCCAGCGGGTAATTTGGATGCATCATTTTTACGGTCAAGATACGCTACATTTCTTTGGAATTATGGCCAACAAAAGAATGATGCCGGAGCAATAAGTGACAATGAAGCACCTCCGCGACATAGCAGGCTTAATGTAGCATTACAGGATAATGATACAATTCAAATAGACTAGTCACTGTCTATTTTTTGGTGTGTTAATATGCATTAGTTTTTGTATTGCTGTGGAACCCTTCTAAAGTTTTCCAGTCCTGATTTTATTAATGTAAAAAATCCTGATGTTTTGGTTCAATCTTCTTAGTTAATATAATTTTAATATTTTGAAGTTCAGGTTTTATATTCATGTATATATTGTACATGTCTTATCATTTTGCAGGCATACTACCTGCATACTTTGGTTACATTAACTTTCTGGGATACATAATAGTTTATGTATTTTTTTTTTAAAAAAACAACAGCGTCCAAACTAAAAAAAAAATATACAATTTCATGTTGTTGCTATTTACACATATAATGGGATACAAAAAGATTGTATGCATTCAAATAAAAAGACAACATATATGAAACGAAAAAACAAGCAAGCACTTTCAAGTGTTATGCATTATTTATTGGATACAAAATTACAATATATGATGTTTGGGATACTAACTGATATTGAAATACAAAATGATATTGAAATACATCATGATGTTTGGTATACTAATAAAACAACACTTATTATTGAAATACAAATACAATAATTTAGTTTGAGTAGAAATTATTGTATTTGTTATGTATTTTGACCAAAAAATGTATCTTGTATGCATTCAAATAAATAAGAAAACATATATGAAACTAAAAAAAAAGCAAACACTTTCAAGTGTTATGCATTATTTATTGGATACAAAATAAACAATATATGATGTTTGGGATACTAATTGATATTGAAATACAAAATGATATTGAAATACATCATGATGTTTGGTATACTAATAAAACAACACTTCATATTGAAATACAAATACAATAATTTAGTTTGAGTACAAATTATTGTATTTGTTAATTTTTTGACCAAAAAAGTGTTTTAGTATTATTTTATTTTTACTACTAATTTGTATTTATATTTTTTTGTGCTACATACAATTTTACACATACAATTTAAAGTAACTTCACGTTAAATACAACAAATATAAAATAAATTAATAACATGTATATGAATAAATTTCGAGCGAAAACATATACAAAAGAGAACCAGGATACTAAATATATAAAATAGTAGGCATTAGAATTTGGGATACAATTCCACTTTAATAAGATATAAAATTGAAGCATTATCAACTAAACAATACGTGGTCCATTCCTACATGAACGCCTATTGTGCCCCTTAAACCCACAAGTACTGCAAGAATTCTTGCTCTTCTTCCCATATAGCTCGCTGTACGCCTTGTCACGATACTTCTTGGATGGCCTTCCAGGTAGCTTTTTGTACTTTGGAGGCCGCACTATGTCGTCATTAATATACCTAGGTACATTCCACTCGTTTTGATCAGGTAAAGGAGTAATTGGAATTTTGTATGTATCCAACAAGTTACTTGGCTTGTACATGTCGGAACAATATGGTCCAACATCAAGATGTTTCTTCTTTAAAACGGCCCAAGCATGCGAACATGGTATTTCATCCAATTGAAACCTCTTGCAAGTACAAGTTTTATTTTCCAAACAGACAATATAGGTTCTACCTTCGTGATGAACGCTGTACACATAATTATTTGATGGTACAATCTACAACAAAAATCAGATATGTTATGAATAATGTACGCATAAAAAATCAGCTATGCTATATAATGTTGATAAACATATACAATGTAACAACATACCTTCATACGTAATGATGCCTCTTCATTAGCAACAAGCATCTCTTGAGGTTTACCACAAAGTGTGGTGAAAGTATGTGAAGCAGACGTATGATTTTTTAAATTCCATCTTGCAAACATCTGTCTTACTTCCTCTAGAAAATCGTATACTGGTAATTCCCTTGCTTCAACCAGACATGCATTTATGCACTCAGCTATGTTTGATGTCATAACAAATCCTCGATCAACTGTTGCATATACCCTGCCCCATTTTTCATAACCTGCCGATTCCAAGTAATTCTTTACACGAACATCAACTTGTTCAACCTTTTCCATCAATTCATCGAATTCAGATTGTTTGTATGCCTTTGCCATCCCATAAAAAACTTCCGAAAGACTATTGTGTGACTTTTAAAATAGTGTTTTCACATTTTTCCACAGATGCCAAATACAGGCATAATGAGGGACTCCATCAAATACCCTTGAAACTGCCTTTATAATACTCTCGTTTCTATCGGATACAACACACATGTTATCTTTACATGAGCCACTCTAAACTGTTCAAAAAACCAAGTCCAGGATGCATCATTTTCCGAATCAATAATTCCATATGCTAGCGGCAATATATTTCCTATATACAGAACATTGATAAAATTATTAATTCATTAAGAAATACAATTTTAAGTACTGAATCAAATTTCATATATTATAATTTGAATACCTGCTCCATCAACAATACTCGCAGAAACAAATGTACCATTATACGTCCCCCTGAGATGGCTGCCATCAACTACGACAATTGGTCTACAACATTCAAAACCTTTTATGAACGGGAAGAGAGAAATATAAAGATACAAAAACTGATTTTCATCGATTTTCTTCATTCTTATATGTGATCCAGGGTAGGTAGTGTCCAATATGTATAAGTAGCTCGGCAATTTGCTATAAGATCCAGATGGTGTCCCCCTTAAAGAAATTACAGCCTTTTCCTTAGCCTTCCATGCCACTGCGTACGATACATCTACTCCAAGTGCAAGGCTGACATCTTGTTGTATATCCTTTGGCGTTGACTTCCTTTTATGATCAACTAATTTGGGTTGAATCATACCTCCAATAAGATTGCTTGTTGCCTGTCGATGTTCATACACCTTATCTTTCAATGGACATGTGTGCTCATCTACGAATTTTCTAATTCTAAACATTCCAGATTTATTGATACTTGATGACTTCAACATCTATCCACATTTCTCAGACACACAAACAAGTGTATAACTGTTTGAATATTATACTATTAGAATTTGTATAATACAAACTAAATGTTGATATTATGTAAAGTCAAGTTGAAAATACCATTATAAAAGAAATCCAACCCAAATACATACCATGTTTGACTTGATCTGTCTGTTCTCCATTGGAATCTATGCTCAATTGCGTATTGCGTCATCACAGATTTTAAAGTTTCCTTGTCCTTATAAACTTGATCTTCCAATACTACCTTATGTTTGGTGTTTGTAATAATGTCGCAATTCATGTAATCGTTATTGTTCGGCACACTAAGCACTAATGCTTGTGTATCAACTATATCTTCTCCATCTATTCCACACATTCCAAATCCATCTTCCAAAATATTTCTATCAGCCAATTCAGAATCATTCACAAATACGGATACACATAGAGGATACTTTGCCAATTCCTTGTTATCTTTCTTCAAAGACACATACACCCTCACACCCATGTCGTTGTGTATTTCCAAAGGTGCATTACTACCCTCTATTTTATACCTAAGTTTCACACTGTTGAAGCTCAAATCAACACAAATTTGCTTAGAAACAACATCTAATAATTCCCTAAATGTCGCATATTCTTTTATCACAATTGCTTCTATATTGTAATCAACGTAGCAATTATCCTCGTTCCACCTTCCAGAATGCATGACTAGAAAAGTAATGCTTCCCATAACTACATTAACAAATATATATTTGATAATCACATAGTTGCAGTATTCTAAAACAAAAAAATTGTATCCAATATCAACCAACAAAAGCTCCCATAACTATTTTTGTATGCATACATTAACAACACCTTCAAAATAACAACTGCTTCAAAACTAAAAAAATATACAATTTCATATTGTTAATATTTAAAAAAAATTGTATTCATTCAAATAAAGAACAAACAACTATGAAACTAAAAAAGAATCAAGCATTTTCAAGTCGTATGCATCATATATTGGATACAAAACATATGATTGTTCATCAGCTTGTTCATGTGCTTTTTATGGATTTCAATGGAACTGACGTCGAAATTTCAAACCATACAAAGATTTAACCGATTCAAAATAAACAATACCTGATGTCCAAATTTCTTGTATTCAATAGAACTGACGGAATTATAGTCGTTGAATTCGAAAACATCCGATTTAACAATATGCCGAATTCGATTCGAAGAAGATAGGAAATTGAATGATTAGGAAGAAAAAACTTTTTTTGCAAATTTTTGTTTGGAATTATTAAGCACGGAAGACCAAAAAACGGTCCACAGAAAGAATGGCAACATTCGCGCTTTTGCAAAATGTAACTGAAAAGCTTTAATATCGTTTTTTCCTTTTTTGATGTTTTATGTTACATGTTTTTCTCTATTTTTTTATTAAGTATTTATATTCTTTCAGATTATCAAAATAAAATAAATACATAAATCATCCTTTTAACAAACTAAACTATTGTCATTTTTAATAAATAGTTAAAATGTTGCTAATGAGTCTCACTAAAGACTTAAATATTGTTGTTTTGCTAATTTTCCCTTAATCTTATTTACCACATGTCCATCCCAACTATGCTAATCATTTGTGTTATGCTCATATTAGAGTGAGCTCTCTACATCACACTTTTTGGTGTGGCCCTCTCCGAATCTTATCTAAAAACATGAGATATTTTGTGCATCAAACTGTCCTTTTTATTTTATGGTATTTGGTCGGAAAGTGGAAAATGTTTTCTCACATCAATGTGTTACAAAGTTCTGAAATGAGTGTCTTGTGCAATATTGTACCATGATGGTGGGACTGACTCCTTACTGATGTGCGATCTTACAAGATAACATTACTTCTAAAACTACTTTATCTTTGCTTTTGGAGTTGATTTCTCAAATATAGTTATTATCTTCGAAAATTACTTTTTTGTTTGAAAAAAAATTACAACAATCAAGAAGAAAGGTGACTTTCTAAAATAATAAAAAAAAGGAATGATTTCAGACCTCCTCTCAAGTTTAGCCTTATAACACTAACTTCCCTTGTATTTTCAGATATTACGCTTACTTCTCTTATTTTCACATTTATGTACCTAAGTTT